GCTGAGGATCAAGCACACAACCCAGGACCTTTATTTTTGCAGACCAACACTCTATCCACTGAGCCAAACTGAGTAGGGCAGAAATTTGTCATATTGTCATTCAAGCTTGAGTTTATTGGATCTTTATAGGAGTAGTATTTCCTCACGAACTTAATGTTTTCCAAATGTAATACAGTTTTAAATGTATTTTTTTCCTATAGCATGATTTTTAAAATATATATATTTTATTGATTTTTTTAGAGAGAGGAAGGGAGAGGGGTAGAGAGTTAGAAACATTGATGAGAAAGAAACATCGATCAGCCACCTCCTGCACACCCCCTACTGGGGATGTGCCTGCAACCAAGGTACATGCCCATGACCAGAATCGAACCTGGGACCCTTCAGTCCACAGGCCAATGCTCTATCCACTAAGCCAAACAGGTTAGGGCCCTATAGCATGATTTTATTGCACTTACTGAATTCTGTAGTTTTTCAAATTTGATTAAAAAACAAAAATTTTATTCAACTTCCTATTGCATTATTAAATTATTACAGAACCACTTTGACTTTCCTGGGACATAGAGCTTTTTAGATACAGATATTTAGTTCTGGATCTGATCAGCATGTAATAATGTAAAAGCACTTTGTAAAACCAATTAGTTTTTATATCTGCACATATTTAAATGGGAAGAGAAGTTTTCAAACATGTAGAGAAGAACTTTGCCACGTAAGGTTTGATAAAATTTAATAACAAAGAGTAAAATCAGTAACTAGTGAAATCAGTCAGTGTAAGTGTCCAGGTATATTCTGTGGTCTGTACAGTTTTACTTATTCCATTTTAAACATTTCTTGACAGCACCAATGGAAGGTCATATCTACAATTCCATTACCAGATGTGGTAGTTTCCTTAAATAACCTATAAACAATATTTACCTTTAAAACACACACACACACACACACACACACACACACACACACACACACGCCTTGCCCCTGGCAGGCGTGGCTCTGGTTGCAGGCTAGATTCCCAGTCAAGGGCACATACCTAGGTTGCAGGTTTGATCTCTTGCTCTGGTCGTGATGAGTGCAGGAGGCAACCAATTAATGTGTCTCTTACATCGGTGTTTCTCCCTCTCTCTCTCCCCTGTTCTTTTCCAGTCGCTTAAGAAAAAAAAAATCAGTGGAAAAAATATCCTCAGGTGAGGATTGACCAAAAAATAAAATAAAAACCTAGAAATCCATTTCATACATTTTGTTACCAACAAAAACTATTGGGTGTATATTTATCAACCAATTCCAGATGTTTTAAGATTTTGTTTCTCAGCAACCCAATAGCAACCATCTGTCCTAGATGATTCAAATTCATCTTTCTGAAAGCAGGAAAATGCATTTCTTAAGGCGTTTAGGTCTTTTCTGCTCAATGACCCTATAACATTACATGAAAATAATGGCTGATACAATTTGTTCAAATGTTTTCCCATTTTATAACCACCACCACCATTTTCACCCCTTCTGTTGCCCCCCCACCCTTCCCAGGGAGTATGGAAAGATGGTATTTAGGTGCTGTATATAAGGAAAGACCTGTTAAACTTTAAAAGTAATGAAATAGTAGGGGATATTTATCTTAATTGTTTAATTTAATGAAGGAATGGGCATTGGGTGATATGTCTGGTTTTTTTTGTTTTGTTAATCCTCATCTGAGGATATTTTTCCATTGATTTTTAGAGAGAGTGGAAGGAGGGGGAAAGAAAGAGAGAGACACACATCGATCAGTTGCCTCCCACACAGGCCCTGACCTGGGCTGGTGATGGAGCCTGCAACCAAGATACATGCCCTTGACCAGAATTGAACCCAAGACCCTTAAGTTTGCAGGCCGACGCTCTATCCACTGAGCCAAACTGCAAGGGCTCTGTGTTTTTTTAATGTTAAATTTTTAGAGTACAGCTGTGATTTCAGGAATTCACAATAAGGGAATGTCAATACTTGGGACAGCTTAAAGTTGACCACTACCTTTTATTCTAATCCATTCTCAACATTTAGAGATAAACTTATTTTCTTTTAGACTGCAGAACCTCAGCTTAATTTAAAGTACCTTTTAAAATCTGTTCACATACTTTTTTCTCATTTTGCCTGGCTTGAGCAGTAATAAATCATTCAAATTAAGCAGCCTCTTTTTGGTTTGTATGGATTCAAAAGTTTGTGAATATAGGTCTCTAATTGAAGGATCCTAGTGTCAATTGCCTCTTCATAGTAATCTTAATTTGAAAACAAGATCCACTACAGTCAAGTCATTATTTGCCATCAAATCATTAAAATGTTACTGGCAAAAGAGAACTATGTTAAAAGAGAATTATCTTAAAGAGAGAAAGATAGAACTCCAAAAGAGAGCTGTCTTAAAAAGCTCACTGGTAGCACTGGCGTGTTTGGAAAGTATACTTTTATATGTATTTGTATATGTGTATATTTATACCTATTTGCCTGTATCTGTGAGATTGTATCAACACCCATCTGTAATACCTAAATAAGATATATAAAATGCTTTTCAACCCCTAAACCCCTTGGAATTCCCTGAGAATCTGCCACCTGAAACCTTTTTACCACTTCATGACAACCCAGAGTTAGCATACCTATAATGACCTTTTCTTGTATGCTATTTTACTACTTGATTATATTTTCATTACGAAACGTTCCTTGATTTCTTTCTCCAGAGTATAAAAATTATAGTCTATTTTGTAAAATTTCCTTTTAAAAATTGCACTACTAAGTTTTTTCATATGGATAGTTTAATATAGCCATATCTTTTACATATTTGATAAAAGTAATTTGTCCTAATTTATGAAATGGGCAATAAAATGTTCATCTCTGTGAATATAATAAGTCAAATGTGTGAAAATTATTTTAGAGCTGTTTGTCATAGCTGCTGGCCTACTGGTACAAGACTGAAACCGGCATTAGATGAGTGGCTGAAAGCTTCTCCATAAGTTGGTGTCCAGTAGTAGTGCCTTTTAAGGCCATTGGAGACTTCTGAAAGATACACACGTCCATCCACCTCATACGGCTGCACATCGGTATCATCTGGTCTTAGACGGCCCATTTCAATTAAGTTTGAATATGCCTAATATTTTTAAGAAAAGAAAAACTATATCATTAAGAAAATAGTTTATTCATTTTACAGTACTTAAATTGGCTGTGCTAATTTGCAGTTTATAATAAAATATTCTGAATAACTGCTGAATTTTTATACTTTCTAGGTATTGTAATTAGGTTTTTATTCATTTAATTTCACACAATGAAATTAAAATTTTGTAAAACATTTCTAATATATTAGGAGCTTTAAAAAAAAAGAACCTCCTAGAGTTACCAATTCTCTGTACACCACTTTTGTGGACTGAAAAGTCCCGTGGTCAAAAATGTCAAGTCCCACAGAGGTTCTTAAATGAAGGAGGAAGGCTATTGTATATGTCCTTGAAGATCTGATAATAACCAGGGATCCATTTCTCAGAAAAATTAACACATTGTATGTGGGAAACGTATTTATACGTTTTACGTTGACTGGTAGTAGAGCGCGGGACACGTATTAATATGTTTTTTACAGACTAGCTGTAGAATGCAGGTAACATATAAATACGTTTATTTTTATACTTTTTTATTGCTCTAAAGGGATGCTAACATGCAGATATACGAATTCCAAAGGACAAAATTTGGGTCTCTAACACATACAATGGTGAATTATGTATGTACTTCCAGGTTTAACGGTAATCAATCTACTCAACTGCAAAAACGGCCCGCGTCACCTGTTAGCGCGCGATAAAAACTACCCGCAAACAATGTGTTAAGCACAGATTTTATCTTATAACTATACGGAGTTCATGAACTTGCTGAAACTAATCTACAGATTTAGGCTAAGAGAGATAATCCCCATAGTATTAGATGCTGGCCCAGCTGGCTGCCTAATTATATCGTCATTGTAGAAATTACTTTGCATATTGCTTATGGATCATTGGTATCTGTGTTATACAAGCATGTTAAACTGGTTTGTCAGTAAGGTTGCAATTATAGAGAAAGGCAAAATTTAAACAGTAAAAAATTTTAAAGTCTAGCTTCTTTCTGCTTTAGCTTGTCATTATTAGTTGTAAACTCTACTTAGCTTCTAGTATGTGATCTTTATATTCATACTAGAGGCCCGGTACATAAAATTCATGCACAAGAGGGGGGTTGGTAGTATCCCTCAGCCCAGCCTGCACCCTCTCCAATTTGGGACCCCTTGGAGGATGTCCGAGGCTGGTTTAGGCCCATCCTAGTCAGACATCCCTCTCACAATCAGGGACTGCTGGCTCCTCACCGCTTGCCTGCCAGCCTGATCCACCCCTAAACCACTCCCCTGCCAGCCTGATTGATGCCTAACAGCTACCCTGCCGGCCTGATTGTCCACATCTGCCGTCCCCTGCCAGCCATCTTGTGATGACATGAGGGCGGCCATCTTGTGATGATGTTGCACTACGTCACCTAGGCTTTTAATACATAGGATGTAGCACTTGATATCTTGCTATTTCAATCAAACTTTCCAGTAGCTAATTTTTAGGACTTAATGTTAAAATTTATCAAAACTTGTAGCGCCTCACTCTACTTTGTAATCATTCCTAATGCACTTGTAAACAATGTAAGTAATTATCTCTCTGTATATAAAAAAGGAAATATGCAAATTTGGCCAGGACACCTTAAAGGGTCACGACCAGACAGGAGGAGGTTGCACACGCAGGTGAGGCCCAGAGCAGAGATGGAGATGGAGACAGACCGGGCTGGCAAGCTGCCGCGACCCAGCTCCTGCCGGCCCCCCAGTGCCAGAGCAGACAGGGACAGGAGGGCCGGCCCGCAGCCTCCGTGGCCAAGCGCAGGCCTGGAGAGGAGACGGCGGGCCCACCTTCTGCAGAAGCAGCGCGGCTCCCTCCCGCTCCCTTGGGCACCGGTGGTTCGCTTCCACCTCCCGCAGAAGCTGCATGGCTCCCGTGGATGCAGCACCGCTCCTGGCAGCGCGCTGTGGTTCCCGCAGGCTCCCGGGGAAGCGGCGGGCGGCCTACTGCATGTGATATCGCACCATGGGCTACTAGTAAGTAAATAATATCTTATGTCATAGAGCAGACCCTAGAAAATACCTTCAGTAAGAAAAAACTTACCACACATGTAGCCTCATCAAAGTTGTTTCCCCAAATGTAGATATTAGAGAGCGTGGGATTTGTTTTCATTGACTCTGAAAGTGCAACCAGTCCTTCTCCCTGTATGTTGTTGCTGACTATTGACAACCTGTGAAAAAACAAAAAGCAATAACCTGGAAACTGGTATTTCCACAAAAAAGAGAATGCCTAAGTTAGCAACATTTATTACAAACAGGTTATTTTGTAGTCTCAACATTATTCTTAAATATGTTTACTGTAGTAGTCAAAATACTATGTATTTCCTCAGATCCAAGAAACTTAGTTTTCTGCTTGTATGCTTCATGCACCTAGTAGAGTTGCCTACATTGTGGAAATCGTTTTATATTATTCAGTAAATGTTTGGAGGTGGATTACAGATACATCTTTGAAGATAAAAGTCATCCAAGTAATACTTTCTTTTTTTCTATTCTCACCTGAGAATATTTTTTTCCATTTTTTTTCTCTTTTAGAGAGAGTGCAAATGGAGGGAGGGAAGAAGGGAGAGAAAGAGACACCGATGTAAGAAAGACACACTGATTGGTTGTCTCCTACACTGCACTCACCCTCACCGGGGCAGGGATTGAATCCGAAATCCTTTGGTGACCAGACAGACGCACTAACCACTGAGCAACACCAGAAAGGGCAGTAATATTTTCTTTGATTCATTCTTCATTTTAGAATTCAGGTTAAATAATGTAAGCAATAAGAATATTCTTATTCAGCCCTGACTGGTTTGGCTCAGTGGATAGAGCGTCGGCCTGCGGACTCACAAGTCCCAGGTTCGATCCCAGTCAAGGGCATGTACCTTGGTTGCGGGCACATCCCCAGTAGGGGGTGTGCAGGAGGCAGCCGATCGATGTTTCTAACTCTCTATCCCTCTCCCTTCCTCTCTGTAAAATATCAATAAAATATATATATTTTTTAAAAAAAGAATATTCTTATTCATTTTAAGCAATCATAACTAGAATAAAACAATCTAATTTTTAAAAGTACTTTTGAAAATTAGAAATTGAAATGTTTACTGCACACTTAATATTATGACAGTTTAGGAAATTAAAATCATGAATCAAGAGTTAAGTGGTTTGATGTTACATTTAAGTTTTCTGTTATAAAATACAAACCATACTAACGCTTTAAGGCTCCTGTTGTGTGAAGCAAGAGTTTCACTGAGACTATTTGCTCCTGCATTTTCTATTCTATTAAAAGAAAGATCTATTACTTCCAGGGTAGTGTTGCTTTTCAGTACATCAGCCAAAAACACCATTCCATCATGAGTTATTTTATTGCTGGGAAAGGAAAAATATGTAGTTACTAGTGAGTGGCCTGGTGCATGAATTTGTGCACATTGAAATTAATTAGAAGAAATATTTTAATATCACTATTCACCCTTTATAATAGAAGTGTCAACC